ACTGAAGTAAAGCTGTGGCTCAAAGTGGTAGAGACTTGTCTTGAGCAAAAGAGCTCAGGGACAGAGCCTAGGCCCTGAGTTCAAGCCCCACAACTGACCACCCCCTCCCCCAAAAAAGAACTACTTCAAAAGTGGAAGTGAGACAGATGCTGATGGTTCATGTCTGTAATCCTAGCTGAAATCTGAGGGTCAAGGTTCAAAGCCAGCCTGGGCAGGAAAGTCCATGAGACTCTTATCTCTAATTAGCCACAAAAATACTGGAAGTTTGGCTTAAGTGATAGAATACTAGCCTTAAAGGAGCTTGAGGACCTGAGTTCAAGGCCCAGTATTGGCACAAAATATAGACATCATGGTCATGAATCTTGAATAATGATAAATATGGTATTATGGCAATGCGTATGCTCTTGTCAGTCACCATTATAGTATCAGCTTTCCTTTAAGTCACTAATGTGTTTAAAACTATATTTAACTTAATGGACTGATACACATCTCATAACTATGGATTATAAAAAGTATTTGTACTTTAGCAGTTATAAATGAAACATAGCTTTTCGGGCTGGGAAGGTAGCTCAGTGGTAGAGCACTTGCCTTGCATGCATGAGGCCCCTGGGTTCGATTCCTCAGCACAACATAAGCAAAAAGAAAAAAGCCGGAAGTGGTGCTGTGGCTCAGCCTTGAGCTGAAGAGCTGAGGGACAGCGCCCAGGCCCAGAGTTCAGGCCCCACGACCGGCCCCTCCCCCTCCCCAAAAGAAACCTAGCTTTTCAGTTATATCTGGCTTTATTTCTGTAATTATTTTTTGTGTGTGTGTGACAGCCTTGGGGCTTGAACTCAGGACCTGAGCACTGTTCCTGAGCTTTTGTGCTCAAGGCTTATGCTCTACCACTTGAACCACAGCTCCACTTACAGTTTGTTTTTTTGGCAATTAATTAGAGATAAGGGTCTTACAAACTTTTCTGCCCAGGCTGGCTTCCAACCTTGATTCTCAGATCTTGGTCTCCTTAGTAGCCAGACTTATTCGTGTGAGTCACAGTGCCTAGCAGATCCTAGACAAAGCATCCAGTGACAGCCTGGAGCATTCTTGCGGGTGGCAGTCCGGTGCTTTGAGTGCCATGCCACTCCCCATGGTTCCACCCAGTGGCTCTTGTAGAAAGGACTGTCCTTGCACAGAGCAACCATTGACCCCATAGTTGGTCTCCTCACCCTCTTCATCTGATTTGAGGGTGCAACATGTCATTTAACTGTCCATGTTTCTCATTGGTGCCCACAATGGTATTTGGAGAGGTTGACCCCACACTGCTGCCCTTCAGGAAGATGCCAAGAGCACTGTCCAGTCTGCCATGCAGAAGCACCTCATTGCTCACTCTATCCATAGCCCTCCGTTCCAACACATTCTGTCGATATTTGCTAGCAAGCATGTGTACATTTGAGCAAGATGGGCAGCTGGAAGAAGCATTAAATACCTGCACTGGCCTCTTCCAGGCACCCCAGACATGCATATCCCTGTCCTACCTGGAGAGATTACGAATGAGGGGTGCACATACCTGGAAGGGTGATCCAGCCTCAGGATCAAGACTAAGGGAGACAGGACCTACAGTGCCCAGGTTAGAGACCAGACTCTAGTGTTGGGACCCATGTGAGACTTAGCAGGTGGAGTTGTAGAGGATGGAGGGAACCTTCTAGAATAGAGGACCACAGCTACTCATCAGGGTGTAGCCTAGAGAAGAGGACACCCAGCGCAGCAGTGTGGACCTGTGCTCGCCACCCCTGAGGGAATTGGAGCCAAGAACCTGGACTAGGGCTGGTTTCCAAGCTGGACAAGTAGCACATGCAGGGAATAATGGTTGAATTTCGTTACCTGTATTTCAGTCCTACTAGGTCTTGTTCACTGCCACTGTTCTGTTCTACGCAGTGATGCCCAGACACTTGACAGCACCTGCTCAAGGCTGAATGATCCAGACAACAGATGGGGAAGGGCAATACATTCTATTGCCAGAGTGCAATAGTGGGATACTTATGAAGGAATAGTTTTTGTACTGGTTTTGGAGGTTTGAGGATATGGCATGGGCATCAGCTCAGTTCTGATGAGGCCCCTACTCCCCAGTCATAATGGAGGTATGCACAGGTGCATATCTAGAAGCTTAACTTAAACAGGAAGTATGAAAAAGAAAGAAACACTAGGGCTCTACAGTCCTTTTTTTTTTTCATAAATAGTTTGGTTTACTTTCACGTCAGTTGATACCCTATCAGACACCACTGGCTGCATTTGGAGAGCATTGCATAAACCAAACATGAGCAGTGGTATTCACTAGACACTATGTTGATAATGAACGATACAACTTGTGAGTGGGGATGGGGAAGAGCAGAAAAACTGGGAGAGAGCGAGGGAAAGGGTGACATTGTTCAAAAAGAAATGTACTCTTTACCTGACTTATATAACTGTAACCCCTCTGTAATCACCTTTACAATAGCAATAAATAAGTTTTAAAACATTAAATATAGGGCTGGGAAGGTGGCTCAGTGGTAGAGTGCTTGCCTTGCATGCCTGAGGCCCTGGGTTCCATTCCTCAGCACCACATAAGCAAAAAGAAAAACCAGAAGTGGCGCCGTGGCTTAAGTAGTAGAGTGCTAGCCTTGAGTTGAAGAGCTGAGGGACAGCACCCAGGCCCAGAGTTCAGGCCCCACAGTTTGGGGGGGGGGGTAGGGGAGAAGCGTGCAAAAAGAAAAACAAAAGTAGATTTCTCTGAAGAGCTCAACCACACAAGCTAAGTATATTCAAAGATAATTAACATTTATCTGTTATTTTCATTAGCAAGCTAATAATTAGAGTGATTTGCTTTCAAATCTATTCAGAAAGATTCATATTTTAAAATATTTAAAATCAGAAATAGAGCCAGGAGCTAGTGGCTTACACTTGTAATCCTAGCTACTCAGGAGGTTGAGATCTGAGGATTGTGCTTCAAAGCCAGCCCTGGCAGAGAAGTCCAAGAGAGTTATCTCCAGTTAACTAGCAAAATATACTGAAAGTAGAGGATGTGGCTTAATGGTAGAGTGCCAGCCTTGAGCAAAAAATCCAAGCAAGCGCTCAAGACCCTGGCTCCTGCCTGTAATCCTAGCTACTCAGGAGGCTGAGATCTGAGGATCATGGTTCAAAGCCAGACCAGGCTGGAAAGTCCATGAGATTCTTCCTCTAGTTAACCACCAGAAAACCAGAAGTAGCTGCGGCACAAGTGGTAGAGCACTCTCCGTGAGATGAAGAGTTCAGGGACAGCGCCCAGGCCCAGAGTTCAAGCCCTGTGACCAACCAAAAAAGAAATAAAAAATCAAAACAAAATCAGTTTGGTCATGGTGGTTCATACCTGTAATCCTAGCTACTCAGGTGGCTGAAATCTGAGGATCAGGGTTTGAAGTCAACTCCAGCAGACAAATCTTGCAAAAAGCCACAAGTAGAGCTATGGCTCAAGTGGTAGAGTGTCAACCTTGAGTGAAAAAGCCAAGCAAGATCAACAGGCTCTGAGTTGAAGTCCTATTTTCAGTACCAGGAAAGGAGAAAAGAAGGAAGGGAAAGGAAAGGGAGGGGAGGAGAAGGGAGGGAAGGAGAGGGAAAGGGAGGAGAAGGAAGAGGAGAGAAAGAGAAGGGAGAAAGGAAAAGGGAAAAAGAAGGCCCTGTGATTAAACTAGAGCTCTGTGCAGCTCTCTCCGCCGTGGTGACTTTCCTCACGGTGCAGTGGTAATAAGAACACTGAGCTGCCACCTTCTCAAAGAGGGTCCGTGGATTCCTTCCCTCCATCACTGCATATGACCATCAACCCACCATCCCAGTGCGCAGGCTCCAGCCCAGGAACACTGACCTAGCCCTAGCCCCTCCTCTGGTGTAGCCACACCTGTGAGCCTGATCATGAGCCCAGAACACTAGGGCCCAGTGGCCTTTCCTGGTTCTCCTACCTGCAGCCAGGTGTGTATTTCCTCAAGGCCTAGCACAGCACTAGGGACACACAAGGCCCTCATAGTTACTAAGTGACCAGCTGCTGTAGGCCTCACTGTGCTGGACTGGCCATGGCTCACCCCAGGCACCACACCGCTACATCTGCCCATACTCACCATCCCACCCAGCAGAGAACACAGAAACTGCACAGGATAGATGAGTGGTTTTAGTTAGTGGGTTGTTGTTGTTTAATACAGAATCACAGGGTAAGTAGTCCACTCCCTACCAATTCTGTTTGCTTCCTCATGACGGCCTTAGAGTAGAGTTTGGTATGAATATATTTGACCCTTACCAGCTATGGATTTAACCAACAGGAGCCACAAAAATTTGGGGGGAAAATGTATCCATATTAAACATGTATAAGAGTTTTTTCTCATTATTCCCTAGACATATAACAACTACTTCCACAGTATTACACTGCATTAACCATTATAAATCAGGTTGAGATAATTTGAGATTCACACTTAGGTTCTATATTCTATACTTCATTTCTTTTTTCTTTTCTTTTTTTTTGGGGGGGGGGTCCTGTCATGGGGCCTGAACTCTGGGCCTGGGCGCTGTCCCTCAGCTCTTCAGCTCAAGGCTAGCACTCTACCACTTGAGCCACAGTGCCACTTCTGGCTTTTTTTTTCTGCTTATTTGGTGCTGAGGAATCGAACCCAGGGCCTCAGGCATACAAGGCAAGTGCTCTACCCCTGAGCCACCTTCCCAGCCCCTCTTTTTTGTGTGCTAGTACTGTGGCTTGAATTTCGTACTTTGCTGCTCTTACTTGGCTCTTGTGCCCAACGCTGGCATGCTCTACCCCTTGAACCACAACTCCATTTCCAATTTTTGGTGGTTAATTGGAAATAAGAATCTCTTGAGTCTGTCTGCCCAGGCTGGCTTCAAACCACAAACCTTCAAGCTTCAGATCTCAGACTCCCAAGCAGCTAGGATTACAGGTATGAGCCATCCATCCTGGCCTCACCTCCGTAATTCACACACAGTGTTTTCTTCCAGGTTAGGAATCTGGAGCAATGGGCGACTGGAGCTTTCTGGGGCGACTACTAGAGAACGCGCAGGAACACTCCACGGTCATCGGCAAGGTTTGGCTGACGGTGCTGTTCATCTTCCGAATCCTGGTGTTGGGGGCAGCAGCAGAGGAGGTGTGGGGCGATGAGCAGTCCGATTTCACCTGCAACACCCAGCAGCCGGGCTGTGAGAACGTCTGTTACGACCGCGCCTTCCCCATCTCACACATCCGCTTCTGGGCACTGCAGATCATCTTCGTGTCCACGCCCACCCTCATCTACCTGGGCCACGTGCTGCACATCGTGCGCATGGAAGAGAAGAAGAAAGAGAGGGAGGAGGAGCTGCTAAGGAGAGACAACCCACACCACGGGCGGGCCCGGGAGCCACTGGGTGGGACTGTCCCCCTGGACAGACCCCCGGTTCGTGATGATCGAGGCAAGGTGCGCATCGCCGGGGCGCTGCTGCGCACCTATGTCTTTAACATCATCTTCAAGACGCTCTTCGAGGTGGGCTTCATCGCAGGCCAGTACTTCCTTTACGGTTTCCAGCTGCAGCCACTGTACCGCTGTGATCGCTGGCCCTGTCCCAACACGGTGGATTGCTTCATCTCCAGGCCTACGGAGAAGACCATCTTTATCATCTTCATGCTGGCAGTGGCCTGTGCATCCCTAGTGCTCAACATGCTGGAGATCTACCACCTGGGCTGGAAAAAGCTCAAGCAGGGGGTCACCAACCACTTGGGTCCCGATGCCTCTGAAGCCAGGCTGGGGATGGCCGAGCCACTGCCGCTTGTGCCTCACCCCGGCCCACCTAGTGTGGCTGTGGGCTTCCCACCTTGCTACTCACACCCTGCCCCTCCCCTGGGACAAGCAGGGTGTCCCGGGGCTCACCCAGTGCCAGCAGCAGACTTCAAAACGTTACCTCTGAACGAGGCACAAAGCAGAGCTCACCCCACCCAGCTCTACAATGGCCACCACCTGTTGATGACAGAACAGAACTGGGCCAATCAAGCAGCTGAGCAGCAGACTCCAGTACTGAAGGCCTCCCCGACAGCACCCAGCCCTGCAGTCCCCAGCCCCGCCGGCAGTAGCAGCCAGCCTCTCCCCCAGGAGGCCGGGTCAGGGGGCAGCGGGCCACTGCTGCTGGCAGACAGCAGTGGCAGCAGCATGGAGGAAGGCACCTTAGCAGTGACACTCGAAGACGAGGAGCAGGCCGTGACCACTGCAGCAGAGATGCACGCACCTCCTTTGGTCCTGCTAGACCCTGGCAGGTCCAGCAAGGCCAGCAATGGGCGGGCCAGACCTGGTGACTTGGCCATCTAATGGTGGTCTCTCCAGACAGCTTTATAACACCCCGAATTCTCAAAATGCAAACCAAAGTGCAGTTCAAATCAGCAGGTAGAGAGCGAGCCTGCAGTTGAGCGTGTGCTGGAGTTCTCAGAGGCAGAAGATGGAACAGAATGGATCAGGTGTCCGTGTTTAATGCTTGCTGTTTTTAGCACTGTGAGTTAGCGTGGGGGGGACACCAATGTTCCTGAGACTAAGAGGTAGGGCGAGTGGGGGGCGGGGCAGGGTTGCTGGTCTTTACAAAAAGAGCCAATTAGCTGAATTTGCTTTTGGGCCTAGGGAGCCCTGGTCTCTGTGAATAACTTGTTCTGGTGCATGCGATCAAGCCACAGGTGTCTGCGGCTCTCTGGCTGGGCCCAGTTGGGGCTTCCATTCCTGAGCTCCCCAGAGCCTCTCCATCTAGCCCAGAGGCCCAGACACACTTAGCTCTATCTCTGGCTCCATACTTTTTAACTTAGGAGTTGAATTTCATTTGGGAGATGTGCCAAACTGTACTAAAAAAAGATTTAAAGAGTGAGTCCGTACAATGGCATTTGAGTTTCTGAAAATTGCATGAGAACTCTGAGATATCAGACTTGAGGCTGCATGACAAGTGACAAAGAGCAGTCACCCTCCAGAGGTGGAGTCAGCCGGGCAGGGCCACATAGGTTGCTGGTGAAAGGCAGGCAGAAGTGTAGAGCGGCTTCAGAGCAACAGCTGAAGAAGTGACATCAAAGGGTGGCAGGTATGCCATAGGGGTTTTTTTGTTGTTGTTTTTTGTTGTTTTTTTTTTTTTTTTTGCTGGTGCCAGAACTGGGGCTTGAACTCAAGGCCTGAACACTGTCCCTGAGCTTCTTTTGCCCAAGGCTAGTGCTCTACCACTTGAGCCTCAACTTCACTTCTGGCTTTTTGGGTGGTTAATTGGAGATAAATGTCTCACTGACTTTTCTGCCTGGGCTGGCTTTGAACCACAATGCTCAGATCTCAGCCTCCTGAGTAGCTAGGATTACAGGCGTGAGCCACCAGCACCTAGCTAGCTAGGTATTTATTTTTTAAATGCTGTTTGTGCTTTGATCTGAATGGTTACAGGCGTGCCTGTTTCCCCACTTCCTGTCTTTCAGTAGAAATCACTGTAACTATGCATACTGACCAAGAGATTGCTAACTTGTCCTAATACAAACTAGTCAAGACTTTAAACTTGCCTTTCCAAGAAATCCTTCAACTTCATGAGTCAGCCAGTCACCAGAGAATGTATTATATAAAATAAAAGTGTGGGGGGAGGGGATTTAAGTGAATTTCAAATACTTGAAGTTGTGAAGTTTTTGGATGAGAGATTAAAAGTTAACTACTGTTGCCAGGGAAACTATTTATACAGATGAACCAATGATGACTTCTTTTCCTTCTTCCTTCTTTTTTTCCTTTTTTCTTCCTTCCTTCCTTTTTTTTTTTTTAAGAAAACAGAACAAAATAAAACACTTCAAGTTTCCTAACTATTCTTTGTGGGCAGCCTGTTTGCTTTCCAAGGTACAAATAAAAATGTCTGGGTTTTACTGCCTGTGTAACAGCGTGTGCTGACTGGTGGGTGTCCCCCACCCCCACTCCACCACCACACACACACACACAAAACACACACACACATACACACAGCTGTCCTGGAAAGAAGGCTATCCACGTGTGTGGGCATGGCTGGTGGGTAGCAGGGTTTTCTGTATAGGCACACACTGCTGTAGGGTCTTAATCACTGATTATGAGCAAAGAAACAATGGTAATGACCAGCCTTATACTTTTCTTCATGTCCAACTTCCATTGAATATCAGTAGCAGTCCTTGATCAGCAGTCACTTTTATTATTATTATTATTGTTGTTATTATTTTGTGCTGGTGCTAGGACTTGAACTCAAGGCCTAGGTGCTGTCCTTTAGTTTTTATGCACAAGGCTGGCACTGTACTACTTGAGCCACACCCCACTTCCAGTAGTTTTGGTGATTAATTAGTAAAGAGAATCTCACAGATTTTGCTGCCTGGACTGACTGTCTTTGAACCTTGATCCTCAGATCTCAGCCTCCTGAGTAGCTAGGATTACAGGCATGAGCCACCAGTCCATTCATCTTCTAACAATTCATTTGAGGCCACACTTTACAACATATGTTTTGTTTGTATCATAAAGAGTGAGCCATTTAACAATCTGATGAAGAGTATGATTTCCAATGCTCAGGTTTATACGTACAACTAATCTTGGAAAAATCACAAACACAGTTCACTAGTACATTCTGCTTCAACCATCACATGGGCTTGTAAAGTACTACTTTCTATTCATTTCCTCATAGCACAATTCAGCTCTTTGAATAATTTGTTATTTCCCTCACCAGGTGTGCATCTAGACCCTTCTAGGTACATAATTTGTCTAACTCCTCACATGTAATGAAGGCCTAAATTTTAAAAGGCTATGAGAAGGGGCTGGGAAGGTGGCTCAGTGGTAGAGTGCTTGCCTTGCATGCATGAGGCCCTGGGTTCGATTCCTCAGCACCACATAAGCAGAAAAAAGCTGGAAGTGGCGCTGTGGCTCAAGTGGTAGAGCACTAGCCTTGAGCTGAAGAGCTGAGGGACAGTGCTCAGGCCCAGAGTTCGGGCCCCACGACTGGCAAAAAAAAAAAAAAAAAAAAAAAAAAAAAAGGCTATGAGAAGATCCTAGTACAAGAGCACTCTGAGAGAGCGTTAGTCCTTGTAGAAAATGCAGTGGCAGTCATAAAAGACCCCAGTACAATTCATAGGGTGGGATGTGGGTACTTACTTAGCTCTTGGGCTTCTACTATAGTAAATGTGAACTATCAATACAAGCTTTGTGTTTATCCACAGTGTGTGTGTGTGTGTGTGTGTGTGTGTGTGTGTGTGTATGCACCTGTGTGCATGCTGGTACTGGGGCTTGAACTCAGGGACTAGCTGCTCTCCCTTAGTTTTTTTCACTCAAGCGGGTACTCTATCATGTGATTCAAAGCTCCACTTGTGGCTTTTTGCTGATTAATTGGAGATGACTGTCTCAGGGACTTTTCTACCTAAGCTGGTATCCATCAGATTTCAGATCCTCCTGAGTAACTAGGATGATAGGTGTGAGCCACCAAAGCTTGACCCTGTTTATCCACAATTTGACTTTGGATCAGGTTGGAGATGAGAGTGAGAAACTCTTAATTGTATTCATTTTTATTTTAAATTGAATTCTATGACAATATGATCATGAAAATATCAGGACTGTTTGATTGACTAGAGTCTAGTAGGTCTGTTTCACAAATGGGTAGGAATGTGAAGTTAGAATCACTTACTTAGCAAACTACTAAATCTATTCTGTGTTGTCAGGTGCTGTGCTGCTACTTGAGGTATCTTGACTAAGGAAGCCAAGTTCCTCACCTCTTATTGGCAGTCTGGAATTGTTCCATAATTAACCATCATTTTAAGCATTGAAATAAGCAATAAAAATAGAAATTGTTCTCCCAATGGGCAGAATTCCAGGCATAGTTTTTCCTACCTGTTGATTTAGAAATTTCACTTATACTATTTTTCCCTTGACTTAATTTAAAAAAATCCATAAGCTACGTGTGTATGTAAGCATGCGTGCACACACACATACACACACACACACACACACACACACGAGTTTGAACTCAGAGCCAGGATATTGTCTCTGTCTTTTACCTTATTCTCTTAAGGCTGGTACTTTACCACTTGAGCCAAAGCTCTACTTCTGGCTTTTTGCTGGTTAATTGGATGTAAGATTCTCATGGACTTTCCTACCTGTGCAGGCTTCAAACAACAGTCCTCAGATCTAGCCTCCTGAGTAGCTAGGATTATAGACATGAGCCACCAGTGCATGGCTTCTTTGTGTGTGTGTGTTTTCATAATTTTGAACCAAAAGAGATACCTTAAATAAGAAAACAAAGGAAATAAGAGAGAGAGAGAGAGAAAGATTGAGCTAACACTGATGGTATATTCTAAGTCTCTTTAGTCTGGATAAATGACTAGATCATAGAATTCTTAGAATACCTAGAATAATGCTGGGCTCCAGTGGCCTCATGCTTGTAAGCCTAGTTATGACAGAGATCTGAGGATCACAGATAGAAGCTAGCCTGGCTCAGGCAAGAAAGTCCATGAATCTCTGATCTCCAATTACAAAAAGGCCAGAAATAGAGTTGGGTGTGTCTCAGGTGGTAGAGAACTGGCCTTGAGGGGGGAAAAACAAAGCTCAGGGTCAGTGTGCAAGCCCTGAGTTCAAACCTCAAGACCATCACGCACACAAAACAAATAAAAAGCCAGAAAGAATTACGAATCTAATATAAGATTATTTTATTAAAACTTAATATGTTTTTTCAATCAAGGCTTATACTTACTAATACCTCCTTGAATTATTTAGCGTTAATGCATGACCTCTTTTTATACTCAAGTATTTTTCTTTTGACCTTTTTCTTCTGCTGTTTGTAACATTCGTTTATAGATCTTTATCCCAGTAAATACATTTGTAAAAAGTATTGCTTGACTTAAGAGAGTACATTTGTTTTGTCAATGGATCCTGCCATGAGTTCAGAATATTCTAAATAGCCTTTAAATATAATGTATGGCTGGGCACCAGTGGCTCATACCTATAATCCTAACTACTCAGGAGGCTAGATCTGAGAATCATGGTACAAAAACAGCCCTGTCAGAAATTTGTGAGACTTATCTCCAGTAAACCACCAAAAAGCTGCTAAATGGAGCTGTGACTCAAGTGACAGAGCATTAGCCTTAAAAAAAAAAAAAGGCTCAGGAACAGTGCCCAGGCCCCTTAGTTCAAGCCCCAGGATGACACAAAGAAAAAAAATTAATGTATGGACTTATGCATTTAAAAGAAGAGAATGAGTGTGATGTGTGCTTCAGTGGTAGAGCCTGACAGGAACAAGCTCTAGGTTTCATCCCCAGCAGAGAGAGAGAGAGAGAGAGGGAAAGGTCAAGTAGAAAGGGAAGGAAGAGATG